CTCGACTGGGAGGTATTGCCACATCCCCCTTAAAGCCCAAACATCGCTCCAAGTGATTTCCATATGTTTGGACCCCTAAAAGAAAAAAGTTCCTCAGAGGTAAGCATTTCAGCACTGATGGCGAAGTTAAGCAGGCTGTCCTAGGACGATTCAGACGTACTGACAAATCTTTGTATGCTGAAGCTTTCCAAGCATTAGGTAAACTCTGGGATAGGTGTATAAATGAAGCAGAGAAGTACAGTCAGGTCCATAAATATTGGGACATCGACACAATTCTAACATTTTTGGTTCTATACCCCACAATGGATTTGAAATGAAACTAACAAGATGCACTTTAACTGCAGACTGTCAGCTTTAATTTGAGGGTATTTACATCCAAATCAGGTGAACGGTGTAGGAAATACAACAGTTTGCATATGTGCCTCCCACTTGTTAAGGGACCAAAAGTAATGGGACAGAATAATCATCATAAATCAAACTTTCACTTTTTAAATACTTGGTTGCAAATCCTTTGCAGTCAATTACAGCCTGAAGTCTGGAATGCATAGACATCACCAGACGCTGGGTTTTATTCCTGGTGATGCTCTGCCAGGCCTCTACTGCAACTGTCTTCAGTTCCTGCTTGTTCTTGGGGCATTTTCCCTTCAGTTTTGTCTTCAGCAAGTGAAATGCATGCTCAATCGGATTCAGGTCAGGTGATTGACTTGGCCATTGCATAACATTCCACTTCTTTCCCTTAAAAAAAACTCTTTGGTTGCTTTTGCAGTATGCTTTGGGTCATTGTCCATCTGCACTGTGAAGCGGCATCCAATGAGTTCTGAAGCATTTGGCTGAATAGGAGCAGATAATATTGCCGGAAACACTTCAGAATTCATCCTGCTGCTTTTGTCAGCAGTCACATCATCAATAAATACAAGAGAACCAGTTCCATTGGCAGCCATACATGCCCACGCCATGACACTACCACCACCATGCTTCACTAATGAGGTGGTATGCTTAGGATCATGAGCAGTTCCTTTCCTTCTCCATACTCTTCTCTTCCCATCACTCTGGTACAAGTTGATCTTGGTCTCATATGTCCATAGGATGTTGTTCCAGAACTGTGAAGGCTTTTTTAGAGGTTGTTTGGCAAACTCTAATCTGGCCTTCCTGTTTTTGAGGCTCACCAATGGTTTACATCTTGTGGTGAACCCTCTGTATTCACTCTGGTGAAGTCTTCTCTTGATTATTGACTTTGACACACATACACCTACCTCCTGGAGAGTGTTCTTGATCTGGCCAACTGTTTTGAAGGTGTTTTTCTTCACCAGGGAAAGAATTCTTCGGTCACCCACCACAGTTGTTTTCCGTGGTCTTCCGGATCTTTTGGTGTTGCTGAGCTCACCGGTGCATTCCTTTTTTTTAAGAATGTTCCAAACAGTTGTTTTGGCCACGCCTAATGTTTTTGCTATCTCTCTGATGGGTTTGTTTTGTTTTTTCAGCCTAATGATGGCTTGCTTCACTGATAGTGACAGCTCTTTGGATCTCATCTTGAGAGTTGACAGCAACAGTATCCAAATGCAAATAGCACACTTGAAATTAACTCTGGACCTTTTATCTGCTCATTGTAATTGGGATAATGAGGGAATAACACACACCTGGCCATGGGACAGCTGAGAAGCCAATTGTCCCATTACTTTTGGTTCCTTAACAAGTGGGAGGCACATATGCAAACTGTTGTAATTCCTACACTGTTCACCTGATTTGGATGTAAATACCCTCAAATTAAAGCTGACAGTCTGCAGTTAAAGCACATGTTGTTTGTTTCATTTCAAATCCATTGTGGTGGTGTATAGAGCCAAAAATGTTAGAATTGTGTTGATGTCCCAATCAGGGGCGGACTGACCATTTGGAAACTCTGGCACTGCCCGAGGGCCCGGGGTCAGTAGGGGGCCCCATGAGATGCCCCTGGTACCTTTTTCATAGGCTTTTTTGAGTTTGGGCAAGGACACAGGGGCCCCATGATCCCCTATTGCCCAGGGGCCCCATGAGTTTTCAGTCCGCCCCTGGTCCCATTATTTATGGACCTGACTGTATATCGAAAAATGCAGTTTCCACTCCTTGAAATTTGTCCTTTTATTCTACAAACTCAAAAGTCCCGGTTTGATTTGACCACACCATGTATTTTTCAAAAGCCCTGCACTCCTAAGATGGTAATAGACACTACTTTTATTAAAGGCCAATTGAACAAGTGGTTTAGCACATTGCAACAGGTACAACAATGTAAATGGGCTCTAAAATAAAATAAATTTTGCTGGCATGCAGAAAAATGAATGAAGACATTACAGCTACTTTTTTGAATCATAGCTCTCAAGTACAGATTTAAAACTACGGAGGGAAAACCTATTTTATTCACGTCCTGCTAAAACAATTACCGCTCTTTAAGTATTGACATCCTGCCTGCGGGACAATTACATCCGCTCCGTGAGACACAAGTCTTCTGAAAACGCAGCGAGGAAAGCAGACAAGGTGATCTGACTGTTGGGAGTCTTGGGCTGGAGGCTGGCTCAGACTCCGGACCCGTTTCTTCATTAGCAGCTAACTTGTAGGACACTAGTGTGAGCGGGGAGGCTGCTGCCAGCATTGGCAGGAGCTGCAGGAAAGATTCAGAACATTAACAGAGACTGGCTTCTGTTTTCTGCTACACAGCTATACATAAATCCAATTCCTGGAGCCCCAGTATGTAATAACAGTCGCGGGACACTGTCTAACACATAGATCAGAGTACTTCTGAAAAACAGTGTTATATAAGAGTACACAAATGCCTTGGAGGAAAGGAAAACATTTGGTATGTATGAATTGTTGTACTGGGAGTAGACGAGTACACAAGCAGATGTATTAACAATGAAATCATGTGTGGCCTAACAAAGCTTTTAAAGTGGGCCCTCAACCCTAACTTTCTCTTGGTTTAGGATACAAAAAAAAAAAAAAAAAATTACAAAAAAATCTGGATGTGTTAATTGTGTGTGTACCCCCAATTCCTGCTTTGGGGAAAATTGTCATCGAAAGTGGGGAAAAGTCCTTAAACGGTAATACCATTCAAACCATTTCTCTACCAATTTTTTTTTAGCTGCCTGTAAGCCGGTTAAGTTGGCCATACACTCTACAGTGGGATTGTACACCATCTGTATAATTGTTTAGATTTACCAAAAACTATATAATAGGTCAAACCTAAACAACCCATTCAATTCGTACCAAATCAGGCAGGCCTCTGCACTACACTGCACTTTAATGGTAAATTTAAAGGAGATTGTACAATCAGAATGTAGAGTTTATGGTCAACGTTAGAGAGATTCCCCCCCCCCCCCATTTCCCATCTAAAGCTTGCCATAGAATAACAAAATTCCTCCATCTAAATGGAGTGGTAGTATCCCCTGCCACCTGGAAGGAATGGACACACACTGTTCAAAAATCAGACAGTCCCTGCTCAACTGGCAAGAATTTAAAATGGTTTATGGCTGGATTCAGTAATACAAAAGTAAGCAAGGGATAATATCTTGGTCCTTACCCCTCCTTACTTTATCTACAACCAAAGGAAACATTTAAAAGGTCCAGTTTAATAAGACCTCTGGCCAACTTAAAAAGTTGGTGTGATATTGCTGGATTGTTTCTATATCGAATAGCTTTTGACATATACAGTACCTTGTACTGGCAGAGTAGAGCATAAACAATACAGTTTATCACTTTTCTAGTCCAAACTATCTCAGGGATTCAGAATAACTTAAGTTTCAAAGGATCTATAATGTCATTGTTTGGTTACTCCAAACAATTAAATAGCATTCAATTATTCAATAAAGAAATTATTTAAGAATTCAGAAACGTTCATTGTAAAAGGTTTCCATAGGTTTCAGCTTATTGCATGCATGATCATAAAACATCTGGGTGCACATAACATAATGAAATAATAGTGTAGTCTTATATTCAAGAGCGGTAAATTACTTTGGGATGGTTATCTGATGCGGTTATGCACACATTTATTATCAGTATGAGAGCAGCAACGGTCAGACCTCAGGGGGCTTCTCAGCTTTGACACTCATGGACAACAAAATCAGCCTCAGATAGATAATGTAAGTAGAGGTAATGAAGGGAGAAAACTGACACACACACAGCCCCAAGTATGACTGGTTGTCTTTACACGGTCAGTTGTATAATAAATGTACAGTTGCAAAAAATATTAAAAGAAAAAAAGTAAATGCCCTAAAATGATTAAAAAAAAAAAAAAAAAAAAAAAAAAGGGAGTTTAAGTGATACCCTTTTTGGCCAACCTAAAAATTGTAAAAGATGCAAGCTTTTGGGATTCCTTAGATCCGAGAGTATGAAGGGATCTAAACTATCCCAAAAGCTTTTATCTTTACTAGCCTAAACTCCAGGTATCACCTACTCTACATCTCATACCTGAGGGAGAATATACACACATAATCCATACATACACATTTTTTTTAATGAATACAAGAATGGCAGCAGTACCAAGTGGGGAACTCTGATGGTCAGTTTGCAGGGATTACGCTGCTTGCACAAGACCTGGAAGATTGCGGCCATCACCGACTACTACAGTGATTATCAGTTTCCACAGTGGCCCCTCAGGTATGAGATATGCATACATTGGTCCAAGCTGGACCAATGTAAGTATGCAATAAAGATTCTACCTAGATGGCAGCTTTAAAGAGGAAAAAATAGGGCCAAAGCTTTTTTGGCCCTACATCTCCTAGGGATCACAGGAGTGCACTTCATTCTGCACTCCAGTGAACCATATGCAGCCAACAGCAGTCTTTGATTGCTCAGTTCTCCGTGTGAGTGGGGGTGGCAGATGCTGCATCCAGCTAGAGGAGTATGGGTATTTGTTTTTTTTCCCATATCTCACACTTCTCTTTTAAGTTAGCCAATGAAGGATATCACTTGTTAATTGCCAACACAATACAAATACTCTACTATGGCTATAAGAGATAAAATATACTGCATACCATTTGCATGGGCTCCATGGCCTCCTGCTTGATTGGAACTGGATCAAACATCAGCATTATGACATCAATACCACTTGTGTGCTTATCTGAAAAAGAGAAGATGAAATATTGTTACAACTTTGCAGTCAAAAACATTTTTTGCAGCAAATAGAATATATATACGGAAACAAGCTGAACAATGTCAGCAGTGCCATCTTCTGAGTTTCACATCCTGAAATAAAAATAAACAGTCGGCCTCCTCTGAAAATACTTTGAATAAACCAGGAGTGATGCAAGTCCATGTCGAGACAGACTCCCAACCTAACAGCAAGCTGACTCATCAATTCTGACCTTCGCAATTGGTGTAGAACAGAGAATTGTAGAAACATGAATTAATATAACAGATGGATCAGAGGTTTTCTTATTTTAAGTCTCATATTCTGAGACAATCTATTATGTACTAGTAGAAAAATAAGATCCTTCAGTATGAGAGATGACAACCAGATCATTCTTCTACATAAAAAATGATGAGGCTGTACGCAAACGCATGCTGTAGACCAACCAATACCCAGTACCCAACAACATCTAAAAGCACACATATTAATGCATTTCCCATAACAGCACGGTTCAGATTATAATAAAATTAATCATTTCCCTAGCTAGATCACTGGTAAGATTGTAAAAATGGACCACAGCAAAAATGGTCCTGGGCACTTCCATGGCCAACAAAACTCTTCTTCCCCAGTGAAATGTAAGCATCTCTCTGTCTCGGATGTCCTCCCAGATGTAAGACTATAAAAAGGTATAGTAAAAATACACCAGCCACTCCTGTAGTAAACCAACATTTATAGCTAGTTGTACAAGATTTTTGTTAGGCTTTTAAAAACAAATTTCTAAAATGAGCACACTGTCCAATCCTAATTTTATTTCATGTAAAAACACTCATCCAGTAAGCCCTACACTTATACAAAATTGTTAGTGTGGGACTGCACAGTGGAAGGAGAAGTAATAGACGAAAGGTTTCCTCCGTCACGCAGCTCTCTCCTTTCACTGCTGCTCAACTGTCTTCCTATGCCTTTTCTACCTTTCCCAGTCCCAGTCTGAGTTCTGCTATAGCGCAAATTTTATGTCATAAGCTAGAGAACTTTTAATATATTCAATCTGCTCCCATCTGATACAAAACATGTATTGCATGGCACTGTCCCCGAATGGTTAATAATTCAACACAAAGAAAAAAGTGTGGACTGCAACTTACAATGGATAAACCTCTATTCACATAAGACGCCTGTGTACTCTAGCCCTGTATTGTAGTGTGACCTTGATTGGCATTACTGAGAGAAGTCTAATGCACAAAGGAATATATGCTGCATGCTCTAAAAAAGGAAAAAAAAGAAAAGTTGATCGAGGTCATCTGGGGAATAGTTTGTGTTGTTGCTACAAAACAGAGTTTTACTTCAAGTGCTTCTGCCCTGACAAAGAATTATACAGGAGGTAACAAATCTGCTTATTACTATATGAAAATAGAACAAGAAATTTGGTTCTTTTGATATAAGATCTGCTCTGATTAAATGTATTTTGACAACTGGGTCAAGGTGACGAAAAAGGGTGAATTATGTTATTAATGCAAAAAAAGACAAAATTTTGCCTTTAGGCAGAATTTCATTTTGCTCACGTACTCATACCATAAATGGCCAGTAGGTGGCATTGGTTTGATGTGCTGTGACAAGTAGGTCATCTAGCAGTAGTGCGATAAAAGACACCCCTGTAGGTTATACTCCTATGTATGTCTGGGAGATTGAGACTGCCAACACATTGTGTTCCATGCTTAAAAACTATGCAACTCAAAATCTTGTCTACTCGTGAAGTATCAATATGCTTTATTTCGTTTTTTTACTACTCTAGTATTAGATTACATTACAGGCAGTTGGGAGAAGCCTGCAATGCGGGTTATTTACTAAAAGTGAAGAGCGCATAATCTGGTGCAACTCTGTATAGAAACCAATCAGCTTTCAGATTTTACTGCCAAAGCTTAATTGAACAAGCTAAAGTCAGATGCCGATTGGCTACCATGCACCAGTTTGAGTGCTCCAGTTTTAGTAAATCAATCCCAATGTCTGCCCTGGTGGTGACCATCGTAAATCCACACTACATCCAAAACGTGTTTTAATTTGTAATACAATTGGAAAAGTTTAACTTTTTGTCAGGTTTTATTGCAGTCGGTCTCCACTGGGGAAATGTATTGTTAACTTTTTATACCTAGGACACCAGGACAAGAAAAAAAGGGGGGGAGAATGAAAAGGGAAAGACTGACCCCTAAGACAGGGCACATATAGTAAAAAAAAAAAAAAAAAGTCACAAGTTCTAAAAAAAAAAAAAACATAAAAAAAAAAAAAAAAAAAAAACAAAAAAAAAAACTGAACGTGTCTAGAAAAGCTAGCTACGCATTTTAAACCCCATTCTAAACATCAGACAGCTATCTTTTTTAGGACTAACAACTTATAAACATTTATAAGAAAAAATAGGAGCCGCCAGAGCAGTAACAAGACAGGAGATAAAACAAACAAGGAAGGCTTGCTGACAGGGCAATGATCAGGATTTTCTTGGGTAGTCTGTATGACCTTTGCTCAGATTTGCATAAAAAAAAAAACTCTCCATAGCTGCTGCATTCCTGGAATCAAGTGGTCCATGTTATTGCACGGCTGCTGCGTGTTTCCTTCTAGTCCTCAGTAAATCTTTTCACACTGTCTATTTTCCTTGGTGCAGACAGGCAGGGCTATGCTTTCTATGTTCTACCTACTGTTGATAAGTGTGATGGTGAAAGGTCAAATGACATCATTGCGTGTTTTAATACATGGCTGTTTTGATGCCCCTTCATGGTAAGCACAGCACTCTGGCTCTATACCTGCACAAATTAGTTTTTCGGGGTTGCCAGTAATTTCCCAATCAAGCATGAAAGGTGTCTGATCTGTACCTGCGTTGGCCTGCATTAGGAGAGAGAAAAAGATGCAGATCTTGTACAATACTCTTGTAAATTTTGCATTTTAATAAGCTACACTATTAATCATTCAGGTTTCAAGTTTCTAATAATTTTGTGTTAATCTTGCAGTCTTATCGGTCAGACACACAAGGTCACTTTTTATGATCAATTCTTTGATATCCTATAAAAAAGGGATAAGATTTCCCTTTTGGAGGGATAGCCTCCAAGGCATATGTCATAGGGGAGATTCTGCCAGTGGAGACAAACCCAGTGGCAGGACCACTAAAGCGGCTGCCTGCTTGCGCTATGGAATCACTCCCACTGTAGGCTAGACGCAGGAAGATGCACTCCACTGCTGGCCAAATGCTGCTGAATCACAAATGTTTGTGATAAAGAAACATCTTATCGCCTTAGCTAGAGGGATCAATTCCAAAAAGAGAAACAAGTATCCACTTAGCAATCCAGCCTCTGATGAGTATTCCCACCCACCAGCCTTACTCCTCCCTACCATACACACCAACCTTCTATGATGAGAAAAGGGGGCACCTTTTTGCACACAATGTTTGGCCAATGGAAACACCCCATTGCCCCATCATATGATCAAAGAAAAAAAAAAAAAAAAAAAAAAAAGGGGAAGAAGATGGGAGAGCACCATACTAGTCCAAAGGCAATGCATTTTGGAAGCTCAAAACTCCCCATATATTACATTTTGGTCAGTCCCCATATATTACATTTTTGTTTTTGGGTTTTGATATGCTTTCAAAGATCAAGAAAGATCAGTTACACCGACTGGGGCTTTTGTCAGCACTACAGAGGGTTTATATTTCACTAAATGTTCACCCTCCAAGTACTGTGTTGGTATTTTTAAAATGCTACTCTAGTATAAAAGAATCTTTGTGCACCTACACAGTCTGCAAAAATGTTATGCCTGCTGACAACACAAAACTTTTTGTAGACCGAGTGTTGTCAGCCCTGACCATTGTCTTTTGCTAAACCACTGAAACCCACTCCCTATTCTATTCTCTACAACAAAGGTGCAAATTATTTCATAGTCCCAAGATAATAACCGGGAAAGCCAACAAGGCTCCTTGAGATAATACAGGAAGTGTCCACGAGACAAAGGAAATCTTTGAATGATCAACAGGTAACTTTTGCACAGCTATAACAAAACACTTTCAATTGTATGTTTAACAGACTAAGAGGCAGCAAATAAGACACTTTCATTGTAAGGATTTATATACACTTCAGGGCTTGTTCACACCATGGTGCAGAGATGTCAGTTTTTCTGAATGTGTTCTGCAAGGGCACAACAAAATCAATTGTTGTCTATGTGCCCTGTTCACACCACAACACTAGTATTATATGCAAATTCTTTTCTCTGAAGGAATCTGCAACATGTATAAAACTCATTGAAGTGCGCATGAAAACTGATGTCTCTGCAAGTGAAATCTGTGCCTCAATTTCCACCAGTTTTTGCACGTACGGTGTCGACAAGGCTTTAGAAGTCATCCATAATTCAATTTTTACAGTATTTATACATATATATTTCTAACACCTTACAAAGCCATCCACAACCCTGCCCCCAGCTACATCACCATCCTGGTCTCAAAAGATCAACCAAACCGCTCTCTTCGATCCTCCCTAGACATTCTGCTCTCTAGTTCCCGTGTCACCTCCTCCCATGCTCGCCTCCAGAACTTCTCCTGAGCTTCTCCCATCCTATAGAACTCCCTACCCCAAACTGTCCAGCCGTCTCCTAATCTATCCACCTTTACACGATCCCTGAAAACCTATCTTTAAAGAAGCCTACCCTGATTCTACCTAGTAAACCGCCATTTATTTCCTCCATCAGCTCATCCCCCCCCACAGCTATTAATTTTTGTATCACTCAACCATTCCTTAGATTGTAAGCTCTAACAAGCAGGGCCCTCTGTTTCCTCTTGTACCAAATTGTATTGTAACTGTAATGTTTACATTCATTTTGTAAAGAGCTGCGCAAACTGTTGGAGCTATTCCTAGATTGTAAGCTCTAAGGATCAGGCCCTCCTATCCCTCTTGTATTGAACTGTACGGTTGCTGTATTGTCTCCCGTTATATTGTA